ATAATGCAAAGTTTAGAGAGACTTTAATACAATATTTATTTATTTATTTTACTCACTCACATGAAAGTTTGCACTTGAAAAACTATTAATAAAATGGCTTGTTTGTAAGGTCGCCACATGTTCATAATTTGACTACCGTTCTGTTTCTGCAGGTGTTGACATGGTTACTGTTTATCTATAAAATATAAGCTAAAGCTCTGACCCTTTCAATCAATAAAAAGCTTCACGTCGCAGTGCATAATGGGTGCCATCATAGCACAAAAATCATCCATGTTTCCCAGCATGCATTGTGGCATGAATAAATTATGCAGCTAAATGATCATTTAGCTGCATTATTTAATTATTATTATTATTATTATTATCATTGTTGTTGTGAGTTTTCAGTAGCTTGTTTTGTGAGGTTCAGAGTTGATCTGTTTATCTGAATGTTTGTTGATTGTCACCATTGCTGAGGTTTGTATGGTGTGTGTTGACATCTCAGTGCATCTCAATAACCAGTGAAAAATTCTTGCACAGAGATGTTATTGCATCTTTGAGAGGTGATCTCTGTTCATCTAGTCACAGTGTAAATGCATTACAGTGATCTTTCTATAATAGCAGCTGCTTTTGTTTAATAGAACATGTTTACAGTTCAGCAATGTCTCAATCTCTCTATTCTTTACTTTGAGTCAATCATCAAACTACACTAGACGTAAACCACTTTATGACAATCATCTGAACATTGTAAACAGACAGCTTCACGTGAACTACTTCTTCATCAATCTCTTTCTTTGGGCGATATGCATAACCATTGAACAAACAAAGAAGAAAGAAGCAGCATGGCACACTTTTTCTTAGCATCGGTAGCATCGGTTACTCGTCGATTCGTCGATCTGTTGAGAATGTCTTGTGTGTTAACCGTGAACATACTCTGGGTTGACTGAACTTACTCTCGGATGCGTTTTTGGAACCAGCATACCTCAAGCAAGGAAGGTTTGGGTTAATCAACCGAGAGTTCAGGGCATGTGATGGTAAATTAAG